CATAGTTAGAGCAGGACCGAGTACACTCAGTACATCCAGATCCACTCTGATGGACTCAGGGTAATAAACATATTGACCACCAGTTAAGTGGTTATGATAAATATGGTCTAACATAGCCAGGTCTTTCTCTCCAGTGCTGAGTCAACATACTGCCATACAGATCTAAGACCCTGACAGTAACATGGAGACTGCAACTGACCCAAAAAGACTGAATATAATTAGGATCTGCACTGACGCAGGTGAAATGGAATCATGTAGAACAGTATGGAACATGGTTTACTTTGTGTGCTGCAGGACCCCAGTGAGCTGAGGTGTCCCCTGGTCCCTCTGCCCCAGACCAGCCGACTAGTCGGCCGTCTGATTGAGATGCTGCCAGAAAAGCATGCCCAGTACAGCCTGGCTCTGCACCTTCTGGAAGCTGTAGAGGCCCTCACCACCGAGGACTGACCTTGGTGCTGCAGACTGATGGAGGAAGAGGACTGTGTCATGGACACTGCAGAAAGACAACCCCCAGCATATGCAGCGTATAGGACACAGTCAAGAAACAACACATGAAAGGGGATAATAGCCTTCTTTCCTCAATTTCAACATTGTCATGGAGGATGTTTTCTTTGTCAGCTCATGTTAATACTAATAAATTCATCCCAACAGATTTATTGTAGAAGGCATTGTTAAATAGAGTGGATACCACAGGCTTTTAACCTTTTTTAATTCATATTTTTGTGCATGTATCATAACTAATATTGAATATTTGTGTTGTTAAAGGGTATTGTGACAGGAGGATGGTTATTAAAAAATGGGGCATGTCTATTCTTTGTCATTTCAACCTCATTTTCACTCAGTTTGACTTTAAAATCCCATGTCCTCTGTGCCATATCAGACTTTGGTTAGACAATTATTTCTTTTTTCCCACAGTCAAGAGATGTATCATAAAAGAAATATGGACCTTATTTTTTATTTATATTTGCAAACTGTACTAGCTGTGCCTGTACACCTACTATTCTGTAGTTCTTTGTCCAGCTGCTCCCACTGGGCTCCGATGCGGAATAAAGAGATTTCTCAAATTAAAAGCTTCCTGTAGATGGTTTTGCTGAGATGATGCTCTGGGTTACTTGTTTCATTCTGGTGACACTTAAACATGCACAAAGAGATAAAGCTCCATTTATTTATAATGCAAAGACAGTTCTTCCTTGTACCTTCAATTTTATGGGAAAATTTATAGAAGGAACAGAATTTATTTTACAAAGGTACAAGTTTGTGACAACTCCACACCATACTTTCTGGAGTATAAATCCTCTACTGTTGTCACATAGTGACACTGTAGTGAATTCCTTTAATACATTAAAATAACACAGATAAGCCCTCTGAATGACATCCCTTCTAGACTGAAAATCACATCAATAGCTTCAATTTCCAACTTTATATTTACAGTAAACAATCTTTCTCATGTTGTAATAGATAACTAATTTGGACATTTTGGTTTTACAGTTCACTCCTGCTGTCAGAGAAAAGTGGGCAAGTGCATCAAACAGTGAATCCTTAAGCACATATTGAAACCATATACTTTGTTATCTGCTATTAGGCCCTTCTGCTCCAAAACTAACCCTGTGCAGAGCTGTGGATTCACCATGCATGCTAAGGCCAGTTCACTGAGAGAGTACTGGAGTGGAGCAACAGCTGGTTGGGAGTTAGTGATACATCTCTCAGCTGATGGTGACAGTTTCCACTGGGAGTGGAGGAGCCACTTCATCCAAAGCAAGGAAACAAAACGGCCAGTGTTTGATGTTTATGATGTTTGCTGGTTGTCAAGGTGACGGGCCTGTCAGTGAGCTTGTGAAACAACAGTCTGGCAGCGTGGACATAGGCAGTCTGCCGACTCAGCAGTGTAGCGACGACAGCGCGGGCATCGGACTCCAGAAGTGGGCACCACTGCTATGTCGTAGGTGCTGTCCTCACGGATCACACCACCTGGCAGAACAGATACACACACTGCTGTGAAGTAGAAGTCAAAAAGCCAAGTCTCCAAACAATATCCCATGACGGCTCCTGCAGCTACCACTTCTCTTATCCAGGATCATCACATTTTAATAAATACACTTAACAAATGTACTAGACCACCACCCAGTGTAATGTTTATGCTACAGCTGCCCTAAATTAATGGCATTGGTAATTACCAAAATCATTTCTTATGTTTCTGTAATGGTTACTATACCAGTATGTGGAAGCTTTTTAACCAAAATGACTAAAATAGTATTATTATTGCTAGCCATGAATTTTCAGATTTACGGTTTTCAAAAAATAAAAATAAAAACAAAACAGTAAAGCACAATATTATATATTGATTAAGATGTCAAATTATACTGTAGTTATTACTTGCATTCCTGAATAGAAAAATTAGTTTCAGTGGTTGAATGTTATTCTTGATTAATTCCTGACTTCTCAGCAAAGCCCAGTGGCTCAGATTTGGGTATAAAAAGGTGAATTCAGTTTAAAATTCCTCATCCTGTTCAAAGTGGTAAAACATCGACAGCTAAGTGCAAATTAAAGCACTTCATGATGCTAGACGGTCTATATACAGTGCTTAACAAATTAGACAGGCAGTCTAATAAATCTGTTAAGCACTGTATACGTTTGTAGTTTAGAGCTGATGTTGCTCACCCTCCAGGTTGATGAGGAAGGAGCCGTGGCTCAACAGGGCGTCTGGGTGCAGGTCCCTGGGCAGCTTACTGGTCAGGGTGACTCGTGCTGCCATCATCAGTTCAGCTAGCTGGGAGGTGGTGGAGGTGGGCTCCTCCTGGAGGGACTGGAAGAGAAATGGAAGAAGGAATTATGTTGTGTTTATGACTGTCCCATGTAATAATTTCTGATGTGTATGAGGGACTGTTGTTTCCATTTTTAGTGAAACGCTTGTTATAATCATATAATAAGGTAATGAACACATTATGCTGAACTTTTTTGTACAACAGAAAAAACACAAAGACATAAATAATTAGTAGAATATTATTATATAATATAATATTATATTTTGAGTATTATTTTACTAACTATCAAATTAAAGTATTGATTATATGTCCATCCATCTATCATCTATACACCACTCAATCTTCACTAGGGTCATGGGGGGCTGGAGCTTATCCCAGCTGACTTAGGGTGAAGGCAGGGGACACCCTGGACAGGTCACCAGTCTATCACAGGGCTACACTTAGAGACAGACAACCAAGCACACTCACATTCACACCTATGGACAATTTAGAATCACCAATTAACCTCAAGAGAGAAAACTCATGCTGCACGGGGAGAACATGCAAACTCCACACCGGGATGCAAACCAGGGACCTTCTAGCTGCAAGGCAACAGTTCTAACCACTGAGCCACATTGCAGCCCTTGATTGAATGTGATCATATTTAATCACTAAATTGGAAATATTGGTACGGATCCAAAAACAAAACTACCCTTGGAAGCCATTTTTTGGCCCATTTACATGTAATGGTATGTTTTATTAGATGCATTATAAAATGACTCATCGCTTGGAAATCTGCCAGTTACCAAAAAAGGCCTAAAGACCATGTCTACTGCTTCAGCACCTGTTTCATTTTCTTTAATCTCATATTCACTGCTGCATTCCCTTATATCAAACATACTGAAAACAAAATTGTTTCAGATGGATAAATACAGATTCAACTTACCTCCATAAGTTCAAACAGAAGACCAGGTTCAATGGCAACAATGAGGTCGTACTGAGCAGCGTGTTTTCCAGGTACGGAAGACAGAAAGGAGTCCCTGATGGCACAAGCCCCTTCCACTGCCTCCTCTAGTCCTGGCCGCCGCCACACTGAACTGCTTTTGATCCAGCCACTTTTGAATAATGTCTCCTCTTCTGTAAAAAAAAACAATTTTCATTTACAATTTATGTTATTAGTTTGCAAATACAGAATCTATACACAGATTGTCATGACAAGCAAAATAACCAAACCGGCACATACTGTCATGTCCTGGCGCATGTAGATAGACCTCTTCAGCTAGATGTGGCAGAATGGGAGCTATGGATCTGGTCAGACCATCCAGAATTTCTTCTAAAACAGTCTGACATGATCTTCTGCCCAATGAGTCCTCTGGATCACAGTACAGCCTGATTGAAGGAGGCAACAACACAGGATAGATGGAGGTTAAGACAGAGAGATGTGTGGGGCTAAAACACACTCAAAGTGACGTAAAGCAGCAAAGTCAAACGTGGAATCTGTGGTTTTTAATGCTGTGGCAAGACCTGACCTGTCTTTAATGATGCTGAAGTAAAAGCTGGAGACGTCTCTGTTGATGAAGGCTTGGAGGACACGGATAGCCCTTCCAGCATCAAACTCACTGTAGGCATCTGTGACCTGCAAACACACACACAAGCATCAGCAGCCATCACAGGTACACTGGTTTCAGGCAGCAGCTAAAAGGGTTTTGCCATAAGATGTGATTCCGGCTTGAACACACCTTGATGCTGAACTCGCGCAGCAGGTGCAGCATGTACTGGTCAATGTAGTGCATCTGTTTGGGGTCCACAGCTTGAACACGTGGGTCGAAGCCCTGCAGGTTACCGAGCAGGAACTTCAGAGTGTTCCTCAACTAAAAAGGTAGATAAAGGACAGAGGGAAATAAGAAGAACACTACAAAAAAAAAAAAAAAGACTTGTTTGCTTTTTCCTTGCTGCACCACTACCTTGCCGATGCTGTCTCTGGCAGAGTTTAGAGCAGTGGGACCGATCTGGACCTCAGAGAAGACATTTGACTCGGCCACCCACCAACGAAGCACATCTGCCCCGTAGGCTGGTGCACTGGGGTCCTGACAGAGACCACAGACACGGGTAAAGAAAAGAAAGTCAGCTTTCATTCAGTTGGTGTGTAACGTGGCAACACAATAACAAAACCAAAGCTAGTTCAACGTCCTCAGAAGCCTTATTTCATGTTCTCTTTTCACCATCTCTCCCACTATCTTACCTTCCCTCCATGGATGACGACATCAGGATCCACGACATTCCCCAGAGACTTGGACATCTTTTCTCCCTTCTCACTGACCACAAAGCCATGAACCACCAGAGACCTAAAATACACAACGATACATGCCATTCAATTACTGTTTTTGTCCAGTTACAGTAAGAACATTCAAGTCATGCAGGAAACAGATGTACCGCAAGTGACCAAAACATTTGTCATTTCATGTTTTTTCTGTGTTTCACGGTACACATCATCACCACAGCAAGCGACTGGCACACTTACTTGTAAGGTGCCTTGTTCCTGACGGCTACACTGGTGAGCAGTGATGACTGAAACCAGCCTCCTATCTGGTCCTTTCCTTCCACATATGCATCTGCCCTGGAGTCGGACTCTGGAGGAGGGCAGGCGGTGGAGGACAAAGAGTTAAAATCAGACATTTGTGCGCTCAGTGCTGTGAGAAATCAAGTGTACAAACTGGTTAGTGTATGTCCAAGAAGACAGAAATGTCTGGAAAAAGACAAGAGAGACCAGCCACTGTTAGTTTAGACATGGCATCAATCCATCGTGTGTGGGACGATCACTGACAGTGACAGTAAGCACTGCTCAAGACAAACATCCACACAAAAAAACATTGTTTTATGCATCTCAACTCAGGAAGGGTCGAAACTTTGCACAGACACCTATCTGCAGCCATGGCATCACAGGCACATTTCCACCCTGAATCTATGCACAGAAGAACCTGACAGCTAAAAAGAGCAGAGTTTGGGCCAATCCTGGAAAAAGAAACAAACTGCCCCAGTGTTCTCCAGAGTGAGGTGCTCTGTCTACAACCTGCATGCAAAGACGAGAGAGCAAGAGTGGAGGGCAACAAAAAGGCAAGGAGGGAGTCATGCTGTGCCGAGGAGTCACTCTGAACCTCCTACTTCCATGTTTGGTGTTCGAAATTCTCCTCTAAGCTCATTCAAATGCTGCTGGTTTGTCTTTTTCTGTAATGAGGTCCTCTGATGAAGAGGTGCTGTTATTCAGAGTGAAGAGTTGTTCATCTGATATGATGCATTATCTAACATGTATAGTCATTACAAAACTTAGT